GCGTCTGTAGGCGGAGGGAGAAGTCCTCCACCATTTCACCATCCTTGAACTTGAGGTTGGCGTACTCCTGCTTCAGAAGCTAGGCCGTCGCCTTTTTTACGCGGTCGGAACTGACGCGCATCGCCGCAATAGCCTCCTACGCCTCTTTAGCCGAGCTCTTTACCCCCAACGGCTTCCTGTACTCCGCCGGTACAGTAGCGAGGATAGCCTCCAACGCTGACATGTCATCTTCCTCATTGTCGGTGCCCTTGTCAACAGCATTCCAGAGCCGTCGGGCTCTGAGCTTGACCTTCATGGTCACCGACCACTCTCCATAGTTGGTGCGAGTCAGCAGCGGCCAACTGGTGCCGCCGACCTCCCGCACCGTGCAAACAACGACCTCCGGTCGTGGTTGGGCAGCAACAGCAGTGCCACTGCTGTCGCCCATTTCCGAACCGTTCGTCATCGCCAGCGGTTAGTCCGGCGACGGTGCTTGTATGGCTCTGATACCACTTGTTAGCCCACAGGATCACCGGGTCAAGCGAGTCGACCACTCACCAGTCTTGCCGAGCACACGCTAGTGTTGCCGAGCACTCACTAGCTAAGCTGACCACGAGCACGACAGAGGCTGCCCGACCAGACCCACTATGGCTAGAGGTAGAAGAAGAGGGAGAACAGAGCATACACACACAATACAAGCACCAGCGTTGGCCGAAGCCCTGTATAGGAGATAGCAAAACTGAACTCTCTTTGTTGAGTTGCAGTGGCAAACTATATATACAACTCTATCTATCTAGTCCTGGTACAGCTGCCATACTGCAACAGTGACTAGATAACACAGTAGGACTAACTTCTACGCCTGTCCCTGTATGTGGCTATAGTCCGGCAGGTGAGCCGTTCGGCACCTGCCTCTACAGTGGCTACTGTACCACAGCAGGGAGCCTTTTCGATGCCGCCTTCCCTTGCTGTGTGTTCATACAAAGAAGCAATAGATTATCTAACATGAGGAACCTTTTGCTCCAAATAATCCTAAAGGTTTTGTGGTTAAGACTCTTGGGCAGCTAGGCCTCAAAAGATCTGTACGGGTTGGTGAGACAGGATTTCAGGAGGTCGCTGCATACCTCCTTGATCACAAGAATTTTGCAGGAGTCCCTCTTACTATGTTAGTGAAAGTTACTCATAGTGTGTTTCATGTGAATGAAGATGTTAATTGTAAAAACAAGACCAATAGGAACATATCATAGGCTCATAGCAAGATTGCCTCGTTGCAACAATTCATTCCACATGACTATGATGCTAGTGACCATGGAACATCGAGCCTCCCTATCTCTTCCATTCACAGGATTGGCATACTCGATATCAGAATCTTTAACACTGATAGGCACTGTGGCAATCTTCTAGTCAAGAACCTTGATAATGGATCTAGTCGTTTTGAAGCTCAAACAAAACTTATTCCCATTGATCATGGTCTATGTCTTCCAGAAAGTCTGGAAGATCCTTACTTTGAGTGGATTCATTGACCACAAGCATATATTCCTTTCTCTGAAGAACTAGAGTATATCAAAGATTTGGACCCTATAAAGGACGTTGAAATGCTTCGCATGGAGCTGCCCATGATTCATGAGGCAAGTCTTAGGGTGTTGGTCCTCTCAACAATATTTCTCAAGGAAGCTGCAGCTTCTGGCCACTGCTTGTCAGAGATAGGGGACATGATGAGCAGACAGTTTACTGAAAAAGAAGAGGAGCCAAGTGTGCTTGAGGTTATGTGTATGGAAGCAAGGAATTGGGTTAAGGAGATAGAATTTCTTTTACAAGAAACAGACTTTGAAGAAGAAGAAGATGATGATGATGATAGTGATGCAAACTTCACCCAGTTTGATCTTGACTCAGCTGATGATTCAACTACATGTGAAATATCATTTTTTTAACAAATATAGGTCTACTGGGGGAAGTTTCAGGAAACCACTTTCAAGATTGCCTGAGGGAAACGAGGACAATGAGGAGGAAGCCAAAAATGAGGCGAGTCAAGATGATGCCAACACATACACCAGTCCAGTTCCTAACTGTACTCTGTCTACCTCAAAATCATCGGTGTGTCCAATGGGGCTTTGCTTTAGTGGAAATAGAAGGTGCCGCAATGGTGTCCCAAAGAATAGGGTGAGTGCTAAAACTGACTATTATAATGGCTACCGTAGCGAGTATTAGTCTGCAGGTTGGAGCACCAATGAGATGTTGCCTCCCAGCTCAAGTTTTGTGAAGCTGTCAGATTTGACTACCAATGAATGGAGTGCATTTCTTGAAAAGTTCCAGGAGTTGCTCCCGAGCATGTTCCATGACACTATGACAGGAAGCAAACTATAGCCCAAGGCCCATGGCTGACGAAGAGGTTGGGCACCTCTTGCCAGTTTTGAGAACAACAGAGGTATATATATGTTTAGAAGGCAACATAGGCCAAACCTGCGGTGTGTTTTTTCGTGGTAACTGTTAGAATATGTGTCGACTATTTTTGTACTGAGTTTGGTTACGCTAGGACTCTAAGTTGTATTTGGTAGTATAAGGTAGAGTTGGTGTTGGACTCTGTAACCTGGTCTCCTCATAAATATGAGAGGAGGGCTGCTGTTGTAACTATGACGACATAGCGATAGGTTCGCAGGAGGGCGGCGGCACGTTGCTGGGACCCTAGAGCGGCCGGTGTTACTGGTTTTGGGGAGGAGCGTCCGTAGTCATGCCCCGAGGATTAGGCACATCGCTGAACCTCGTTAAAAAACATCGTGCCTCTGGTGTCGCCTGTGATCTTGCATGTTCGTCTCAATAGATTTAATCGATGCTTCCGTGCGTGGAGATTGGCAGACAGCTTGTCGCTGTGGGGGCTAATTTCTAACGGTAACAACTACAAGTCATCATGTACTGTACTACATATTGGTTGTTGCTATGACAATAAGGCCATATAACGTATTTATGTTTGCAAAAAAGCATCGTGACGCCTATGCATAGATTTAACTTATGTTGGCGCATTGTTATTTGTGTACCTATGTCCGATGATATTGGCCATGATAAGTGTCATTATGTGGGAGTGTGATGGCATTCTCAATTCTTGTTATTGTTATTGTAATATTGTGGACAGGTTATCATAAGAAAGCATTTAGATAATATTGTGTGCATACATCTATCTCATCTATGTGTCTTGCTTTATTTTTTACGTGTCGTTTAGGCATATTGACTGAAGATGATGACGAGCTTGCTTTGCAATTTATTGATAAAATACCTCGATCGGTACTCATCTCTGCATTTCTCCACCAGATGATCTAATATAACCTAAGGAGAACCTCATTTGCCAAGTTTGTACTTGTGTTGACTGTTGTGCTGCAACTACGACATCATTTTTTTTGAGAGCGTGCATTGCACGTATTTCATTAAGAGAAGTTAGAGTTCTAAGTACATGTCTAAGGGCAGTCCCAATGATGCATTGATGATGGTTTCTATCCTCATTAAATGACTTGCCACGTAGACAAAACACTGATATGGCAACGTAATTAATGAAGAAAGAGAGCAAAAATCATAGAAATGGTTTATTCATGAAGAAATCAGGTCTACTCTTGACCCAATGCACCAAGAAACCATGAAATCGTCACTGGGGAGAAACCACCAGATTCTAGGGAGCTCGTGTCGCACTTTCATTGGAGAAAGAAGATAGAGTTAGGAGAGAGAAAGAGAAAATAATTATTACTCATAAAAACCATAGATTAAAAAATAGTACTTTTTTAGTGCAGTATCCTATGTTATAGTACTATTTTCTTTCGTTGGGACTGCCCTAAGGACCCCACTTGGCGAGGTGCCGTAGGAGGTTGGGTGAACACAAACATAAAGGCACCGTTAAACGGTGGGGAACGCTTTGATGTAACTAAGTAAAGAACTAATTGTGCGACGGTGAGCCTGGAATGCTCACTACGGCGATGCCGTCGCCCTGCTCCGACGCTGACCAGTCTTAGGGAAGAGCTCCCGCATGGCCGCCCGCTTGGAAGACGACAGGGGGTCAGCGAAGGTTTCGTGGAATCTGGTGGCGATGGTGTCGTCCGGGGTCCTGGTAGCCGCGTTCGTGGAGCGGTTGGTCCATTTGCCGAGGAGGACTCGTCGTGCTTGCTTCTCCGGCACCGGATCGCGATAGGCCGATTTCGCAGCCAGCCGATCACTGCGTCGTGGCACCAGATCATGATCGACTCGCCTCGTCGGTGGCGGACGAGGTGCCGAGGCGAGAATCGGCTCGACAAGGGGCTTCTTGAGGCAGGCGATGAAGGATGCGACGTCCAGCTGTTGTGCGGGCGGCGGAGACCCATTGCCCGCAGTCGCCTGTACCCCAGTCGCCTGAGTAGCGGTAGGCGCAGCCGGTGCAGTCGGCGTGGACGGTGCGACGTGAGGCGCCACAGGATGGGCCGAGTCGGCCACAATGCTTGGCCCAGCGGACACGCCCAGGAGGTCCGGGGATGGGGGCAGGGCCACTTCTGGGCCAGAAGGAGGTTGTGGAGTAGAGTCCCACGAGGGCGACAGAACTGGCGCGGAACGGGCATCGAATCCCCGCGCACAGTCGTTTGGTGGGACGCGCGCGCCTGGAGAGGAGGCACGAGCGCGCGGTGTCAAGAGATGGTCCATCCCGACGTTGTCACCTGGCGCGCATATGCGTGCGCAGGGGCAGGTGTCCAAAGTTGCGAGGCATGGTCAGATGCTGAACTCTGGATGGGGGACAGCTGTAGGGGAAGCAGGAAGGAGCAGCTCATTCTCTGGAGCGGGAGGCACTAGTACTACTTTGCAGTCGACAAAGTGCCTCTCGTCCTCCGCCACCAGCAGCAACGGATCAAAACGATCGGGTTGTTCGAATTGTTGCAAGCACAGTTCAAATTCGAAACCGGCTTTGGCTTCTTGCGGCAGAGGTAAAGCAGGCTCTGGCATGGCCGCCCAACCCATGCCACCCGTCGAGCGCGGCTTCGGATGACCATGGAGGATAGGACAAAAGACGTTGCCCACGGTCACGGACGCGCCCTGACAAACGACGTGGCCCAAGGCCGCGGCCGCAGCAACACTGAAAGTTCCCAACATAGGCCATGTGGACGCGGCCAATGGCCAGAACGGCCTCCACCGAAGTCCCTGTAGGGGTTGTTGTTGTCATCGCTGTCGCCGGGAGCATCGTCCGACGACGACGGCGGCGCAGTCCAATCTTGGACTTCGATGATCCGAATACGGACCCCGTACTGGAGCACAGGCAGCTCAGAGTGAATGACCTCGTGTTCCCTCAGGTACAGTGTTGGTTCAACGACGAAAGGCACCTCGGGCTCCGGGATCGCGATCAGCCGCTCGTGTGGGATGAAGTCGGGGTGGACACACCAGGCCGCAACGACGAACTCACGCAGGTCCTCGCCGGCGGCGGACGCCGGGGCAGGCACCAGGTTGGCGCAAGAGGTCCCGAGGATCCGCTGGGTGGAATGGATACCCCGGATATGCGCCGGCATCCCCTTGAGGCCAATCAGCACCTTGTATTTGAGCGAGCCAGAGGTGGCCATGGATTGGCGGCGCCAACGACACCAGCGCAGGTAGAACGGGGTCCCCATCGGAACCGGCCCCTGGAGTACGTCCTCGAGGTCGTCGGCGTTGTTGAACCTCACGAGGAAATCCTCAGGGGCATAGCGACATACCGAGAACGCGTCTGCCGGCAGGTTGTAGAAGGACACGAGCTGTCGACGAACATCAGCCGGAGAGACTGGGGGACGGTTGCCGCCCACCATGGCCACCAGGGCAAGCGACGAGAGGGCGGACTCCACCGCGTTGAGCTCCGCGGACCGCGGGATGACGAGTAGCTCGGAACGAGGGCGCATGGAGGCGTGGCCGGGCGGAGGTGGAGGCGGTGGAGTGGGCGGTGGAGTCCGTTACGACGTGTTCCCTCGTGGAGGAGGCGTTGGCGACTGAATCTCTTGGACGGCCGGCCCCGCCTGCTGTTGCGCCGTTGACGCACGGAGGCAGCCAGGCGACCTCCGCGGAGACTCCGGTGCGCAGATTGGGGGCACCGAAGTCTCCCTGCCAGTGGAGCAGGAGCGGCCCGACACCGTGCCAGAGGACGAGATGTAGCCGTCCGGGCGGCGAAGGCGCCTCCTTGGCGGTCCCCTGTGCCTGGCGGAAGCACCGCCGGAGGAGGGGAGGTGACGCTTGCAGTTCTTTGCACGGTGGCTGGTGCTGTGGCAGAGGTAGCAGCGCGACAGGAACCTGCAGTGCGCGTGGACGTGATCGCCGGCGAGGCAGTTGAAGCATAGCCCAACGAACTCCGGAGGCACGGGCCGAGGACGGTGGGCGCGGGCAGGTGCACGACGACGCCAGCGTCGCTTGCTCTGCACCAGAGTGAAGCCATCCGCATCCATGGGCGCTCCCATCCGCGGGACGTGGAGGCGGGGAGCAGAGTCATGGTCCGAGCGACGACGTGGGGGAGGGGAACCTAGAGAGGCCCGCGGCTGATGACGACGAGGAGGGGGGCGAGGAGGTGGGGGCGAGGTCCTCCGACCAGGCTCACGCGGCGGAGGGGAGCGGTGGGCGTCAGCCATGAACGTGGAGCGGACGTTGCGGCGGCGACGGTGACGCTTGGTCCTCCCCCCGACGCTGCTCACGACCGCCTTCCCCTTCCCGTCGGCGACCACCACCGGGAAGGCTCGTGAGTCCTCGTCGAGGCCTCCGAGTCGGTGAAGGAGATCCTGTCCTTGGGACCCCTGGAGGAGGGCCCCAGAGACCCGACGAGGCCCAAGGACCGGCGACGGGCGAGGCAGCCGCAAAGGCGCGAGCCACGCCCAGCGGCGAGAGGGGAGCTCCGCGACTCCCCCCTCCGAGAGATCTTGGGACAACATGGGAGGAGACCGAGTAGAGAAAGGAGAAAGGGAGGTGGCCGGCGGGGCCGAGAAGGCCACCGGCGGGCTAGAGGGTGGACCGCATGGTCCTGGCCTCACCAGTGAGACACCGTATCTTAGCATGCAACTACGACATCTACAGTCTGTTCGGGAGGCCATATCGTATCGTGGATTATTTACTGCTGGCTGGTTTGGTGTGAGAGAAAAACACTGTTCCTGGCTGGAAATTTACGATCGTTTACGAGCAAGCGAACAGGCTGCTAGTATCCTCCTTCTACAGTGTTGCTTCCTCCTTTAGCTTTAGAAGCATATTTCATCTTGTTTCTTTGGAAAGAAGACATATCTCTTCAATTTACTGAGCACTACCATTGTATTATATTGCCTGATCTATTTTGCAACATCCCTTGTAAAGTATCTACTTGCAGTAATAATTTTACATTTTCCTACAGGAGTTGAGTGCCTTCACATGATACCCTTGGATTTTTATATGTACATGTTTTCTTTTTTCTCTGCAGCTTGCATTATATATGTTCTTTTTTAGCATCGTTTCTCTTTGTCTTTTATTGAAAAACCTGGCTATCATACTGTTCTATTTGAGTTTCTTTAAGTCCTTTTTGTTACTGAATTTATACTAGCTACTGTCTGTCATCAGTTTCACATCATAAGTTCAGATGGCTATTGTGTTCAAGTAACGACGATGGCGAAGCAAACCATCAATTTGTCAATAAAGGTAACTAGGTAAGAATGCAATGCAGTGGTGAAGAACGTGAAGGATGCAGGATGGTCGAAAGAACAGGCCCGAATGAAATTGGTTTGAAATAAAGAAATTTGTACAAGTTATCAAGAAAGCACATGCTGAACTGAAGAGCTATGTGGCCGAGCAGCCGGCGCGTCGATGCCCCTCTGGAAGGGTTTGTGCGGGATGGCAGGGCAGCGACGACGGCGGAGACAGCATGGTAACCTGGGGTCTTGGCCTGACGTTGTGCTGGAGGAAATCTTGGGCGAAAGCCTCGGGGACGGTGACGCCCGTGGGCGCCGCTTCCCCTGTTGAGAGCGTCGCGTTCCCTAGCACTGTCTTCCATGGGCGAAAGCCCGGTCCATCTCGGACGAGCGACGGTAGCATCCCCGGCGTCATTCCCTTCCTGAAGGCGTCGCTATTAAAGTTCGTCTCGGCCACGACGTCGCCTTCGGTTGATGCTTTCGCTTCTCGACGCTCGGTATGCGTGTGGAGGAAGGGACTTGCAACGTGAAGTCGGAGCTGCTACGTCAGGGGATGTGGCTCGGCAACGATGACATGAGGCGACACCCCCCCTTCTTCGTGGACTGGATTGCTTCGGAGGTCGGGCAAAATCCGGGGGCGGGGCGGAGGATCAAGATTGGAAGTCGGAGTTGCTCTTCAGTTTGAGCTCGACAACGATGACCTGTTGCGGCCTTTCGCTTCGGGACGTCTGCCTGTTTTCGTTTGGATCGTCTGGGGTTTGCCATGGGAAGTCGAAGTTGCTGGCTGCTTTGCAATCATGCTAGACAACGTGACTCATGGTAGTTTTGTGTGCTCTTCCGCGTCGCGTGGGTAGGTTAGCCCTTCATGTGTCCAGTGTTGGCTCCACGTTGGGCTACCCTTCTCGTACATACAATTCTTTTGTCTTAATTGAGCGGCATGGCTGCTACTTTTTCATTTGCAAAGAGTTAATAGACTTATTACATCATAACTTAAGTAGCATATATACTCTACATTTCACACACAATTCAAGAGTTACCACCGGATCGGATCTCCAGACAAAAATGAAAAAAAAAGAAATAACAATACCAAGAAAAAGGTGCATGTAAAAAACTTGGATCGAGAGCCATGGACGGACGAGGGGCCGGCCGGCTGCCGGAGGGCAGGCTATGCGGCGACGTTGGTGATGCCCCAGGAGCGCTCGGCGAGGCGGACGCAGTCGTGGAAGCGGAAGCAGTCGACGAGGTGGTCGATGGCCATGCCGGCGGCCTGCATGAAGGAGTAGACGATGACGGGGCCGACGAGGCGGAACCCCCGGCGGACCAGGTCCTTGCTCACCGCCTCCGACTTGGGCGTCCGGAACGGGATGTACTTGTGGTGCCGGTACTTGCCCACCACCGGCCGGTGGTTGACGTGGCCCCACATGTAGCCGCTGAAGGAGCCGAACTCCCTGGCCACCTTCTGGATGCACTTGGCGTTCTCCACGATGCACCGGACCCTGCACTCGGCGAGCCTCAGCTCCCTGTTGCCGCTGATCTCCGCGACGTCGTCCTCGTCCATCCTCGCCACCGCGCTGGGGTCGAAGTCGGCGAACGCCTCCCTGTACATGTCTCGCCGCTTGAGGATCTCCGTCCAGTTGTGGTCGATCAGCATCCCTGACAGCGACAGAAGCTCGAACAGCCGGCTGCGTGCATATATGCCAATCGATCATTCATTCACCGCAGACATCGATCACAAGCATGATCAAGATTAGTTTCAAGTTTGCAAGTTCACAAATTCAGGAGAAATTAAATGTGGTGGCAAAATCAAATACTATACTTGTCGCTGTACACAGGGACGCCCCAGCACTCGTCGTGGAACTGAACGTACGCCTCGTCTGCACAACACAATGCGTTTATTAATTTGCAGTCAGTCAGTCAGTTTTCACTTTTTTGTTTTTTGAGTTCTTCGTTTTTTCTATCCTAGTTAGTCTATTTTGCTCAACAAACTACACCGAACAGGAGACAAGTTCCTTTCCGATGAATTTGTCGACTGAATGCTGCTATTCTCCATCTCACCAGCACTCTAACTTGGTCAGTCAAATCAGAGTATCAAGTCAGCGATGTCGACTTTGCCACTTCTTAAAGGACAAGGATGTCTGCCTGACTGTCCCCATTGTCTATCCAAACTTCTTTTGTTTTATATAGTCATTGGTTGGTAAAAATTTACTTTTTTTGCATCATTCAGTTAGCCGAGTGCTTACATGCATCTTTTTTAGACAATAATATAACAATATATGCATCTCCTGTTTTTAGATAATATATATGCGCATCTCCTGTACAAAGAAACCGATGTTCTCAAAGGTGAAAGCGCGTGGTTAAAGCCCAGCTCTGTCAAATTGGATGAGATGATAGGTTTGGATTAGAAACTGTTTTCGTCCAGTGGAACATCATGCATGCTAATATAATGCATGTGAATGAAACAAATACATGAATGAAGATCACTGATTCAGTTCAAAAAATGATTGGCAGAAACAAATTAAAGTTAGCTAGCATTTAGTTTCTTACCACTGTTCTTGGTGATCCAGCTGCACCTATGCAAGCTCCCTGGTTCACTGCAGTCGAAGTCCTCCTCACCTCCTTCGACGTCATGGTCACTGACCTTGTCATCATCCTCTCGCCTCATCTCCCGAGACACCATCACCTCGCCCCAGGGGCTGAAGGTGCCGCCATAGAGCAGCGGCACCTTGGGCTCCCAGCTGGAGTTGGAGCTGCTGATGGAGGAGTCGTTGGAGTTCTGCGACAGCGAGAGGGACGACAATGTGAGATTGGAGCTGCTCCTCTGGATGCCCAGCGGGTAGATCCTCTGCATGTACTTGCTGGCCGCTTGGTTCATGGCCTGCTGCAGCTTCCTGTCGATGCTCTTCATGTGGTTGTTGCCAGGGCTCTTCTCGAAGGCATGGTGCTGCTGCCGGCTGTGTGCTGTGGTGATCATCGTGCTGTGCTGCTGCCACGCGCGAGGCAGGTGTTTTGGGAGGCAGACTATGAATGAATGAAGAGATCGAGCTTGGAATGAGGTTTCGTATGTGTGGTTGTGGGTCTATTATAAAGGAGTTTCAGGTTAAGGTGCTGCGTCAGGCTTGTTTGGTAGCATATGGGCTTCAAGGTAGCTGCTTGAAAGCTTCCACTCGATCTTATTGAAAAATGTGTGATGGCTTTGCTAGTTTAGTGAGTGGAAATTGCTGGTGGTTTCAGCATACTACATGGTTCATGAGTTTCCCTGGCTCATC